TGGTGAGTCAGTATTGTGACAGAACTGTTGAGAGGAAACAACTCTGAATATGTTACACGCTTTAATGACTGAGATTAGTTGCAACAAACAAATGCTGTCTGGGAGCTTCACCAGTCACTTTTGTGTCAGAATGACATCTACAATTTACCAGAAGGCATGTGTGAGACTGTGGTCTGTTGAGACCAAAATTGAGATTTTTGGCAATCAGACTAAACACCATGTTTGGTGTAAGCCATCAAAATGAGAGTCCAAACAGCTGATGAAAACCTCACAAGACTCCAATATTTAACTTCAGACCAGTGCTTCCAGCTAAAATACTTCTCCTCCATTATTGCTTTCTTCAGTGAAAAAGTAATCTCGTCTAAATCAGATGCCCAGATCAAATATGCCCAGATCAAGCAGTTTACAAGTGTCAAATGTTGGTGGATTTTGATGTGAGAGGACAACAGGGGATGGACGTTTTCACCGAAGGAAGCATTATTATGGATTATGGATGATCGTTTGAAGTTAAAATAAGCCTTAATGATGGATTGTTTCTTACAAACAAGTATATTTGTCTTTTTTCACTTTTACAAGATGTTAATTGATGGAATGAAGTTGTGTGGATTACTTGTGATGTTTTTAACCAGCTGTTTGGACTTTCATTCTGACGGCACCCATTCACTGCGGAAGAACACCCAATGAGCAAATGATGTAATTTTCTATTTTGATGCTATTTTAAACTATTCTTTATAAAACAGCTGATCGCTAATTCTTTTTCTGCAACCTGACTGAGCTTGAGCAGTTTTGCTAAGACGAGTTGGGAAAAAGTCTAGTGTCAAGATGTGCAAAGCTGATAGAGACTTGAAAGGCTGTATATTTGCTTCCAAAGTTGCATATACTACATTTAAATTAGCCTGGTGGTGAATACTTATGGAAATTTATAATTTATAACTGTTATACATTTTGACCAATTTGAAGAAATCTGTTTTCAGTTGAACAAGTCAAAAGAAAATAGTATTTTTATAGGTCAGAACAAGCAGAAATAGTTTCAGTTGTTTATTGTACTTTGCACTTAAAAAGTCTTCCCAAATACTTGTGACTTGATTCAGATTTACTTTAATTTTTTTACATTTCTACCTCTCCACATGTCTTTTGGCAGTCAGAGATGCGCTAAAATGTCTAACAATTGTTATGCACTCAATTGTAAATCTTAAAATATTCACAAAAGTAAAAAAAAAAAAAACAGAGCAACATTACAAAGATGTTTGGCAGGAGCTTCTCAACGACTGGTTGGATGGAATAAACATCTCTAAACAGGTGTTAATAATTATAATTACATTTTAATAGTAACCGCTTTTGTCAACGTTAAGATAAACATTTTCATGATGAGTGTCTGTAGCTGAGCTGAATGTACTCCCTTTGTGTGTATGATTTATTCTGTTGACTCATCGATTTGCTCAGTTTTGATTAGTAGATTACAGTGGAGACCTCAATTCAAGAACTGATGTGTATTAGTACTTCTTTTTATAATGATCGTTAACATAATGTTTACTGATCTACTGTCATGTCATGTTGTTTTGACCAATTTGAAGAAATCTGTTTTCAGTTGAACAAGTCAAAAGAAAATAGTATTTTTATAGGTCAGAACAAGCAGAAATAGTTTCAGTTGTTTATTGTACTTTGCACTTAAAAAGTCTTCCCAAATACTTGTGACTTGATTCAGATTTACTTTAATTTTTTTACATTTCTACCTCTCCACATGTCTTTTGGCAGTCAGAGATGCGCTAAAATGTCTAACAATTGTTATGCACTCAATTGTAAATCTTAAAATATTCACAAAAGTAAAAAAAAAAAAAAACAGAGCAACATTACAAAGATGTTTGGCAGGAGCTTCTCAACGACTGGTTGGATGGAATAAACATCTCTAAACAGGTGTTAATAATTATAATTACATTTTAATAGTAACCGCTTTTGTCAACGTTACGATAAACATTTTCATGATGAGTGTCTGTAGCTGAGCTGAATGTACTCCCTTTGTGTGTATGATTTATTCTGTTGACTCATCGATTTGCTCAGTTTTGATTAGTAGATTACAGTGGAGACCTCAATTCAAGAACTGATGTGTATTAGTACTTCTTTTTATAATGATCGTTAACATAATGTTTACTGATCTACTGTCATGTCATGTTGTTTTATGGAGTATTTTATGTCAGCAGATTAACTGGTCATTTGAGTGGTTTTATCCCTTTAGTTTGATGCTCGGGGCTATGAGCATGTGATGAGACTCTGACACGAAAGGGAAAACCATGAAATTGTATGCATCTACAAGACCTCGCTTGCACTTGATAAAAATGAACATGATGAGTGTCTGTAGCTGAGCTGAATGTACTCCCTTTGTGTGTATGATTTATTCTGTTGACTCATCGATTTGCTCAGTTTTGATTAGTAGATTACAGTGGAGACCTCAATTCAAGAACTGATGTGTATTAGTACTTCTTTTTATAATGATCGTTAACATAATGTTTACTGATCTACTGTCATGTCATGTTGTTTTATGGAGTATTTTATGTCAGCAGATTAACTGGTCATTTGAGTGGTTTTATCCCTTTAGTTTGATGCTCGGGGCTATGAGCATGTGATAAGACTCTGACACGAAAGGGAAAACTATGAAATTGTATGCATCTACAAGACCTCGCTTGCACTTGATAAAAATGAATGAATAGTTGATAACAGCTAGATTGCCACATGCTGTAGTTGCCACAAGCCAGCAATCATTCACAGCTGACAGAAATGTGACATTCAGTTCCAACATGGAGTGGGGGTTCGGTGCCTTGCTCAAGGGCACCTCAGTCGTGGTATTGAAGGTGGGAGAGAGCGCTGTACATTCACTCCCCCCACCTACAATCCCTGCCGGTATGAGACTCGAACCCACAACCTTTGGGTTATGAGTCCGACTCTCTAACCATTAGGCCACGAATAGCTGATAACAGCTAGATTGCCACATGCTGTAGTTGCCACAAGCCAGCAATCATTCACAGCTGACAGAAACGTGACATTCAGTTCCAACATGGAGCTGCTGCTGTTTGCATGTATTTGAGAAATAATTGATTTCTTAGCAGTTTTATACTGTTTTATTGTTTTGTTTTTTAAATTATTTGGGTTTATTTCAGGTGGCTTCATCCACGTACAGGGAAAATGTAAACACCTATAAGGTCAAATGTGGAGGCAGTCAAGAGATGTGGGAAAGCAGTGGGTGGATTGTGCCCCAGGATCCATATGGCTGGTTCCAGTGGTACTTCAGGCAAGAGCTGGTGCAACACACCTTTCACTACTGTTCAAAAGTTTAGGTTTAAAAATGTCATTCTTTTATTCAGCAAGGATGCATTCAATTGATCAAAAGTGGCAGGAAAGTGGCACAAAATTACATTGTTGCAGGAAAGTTCAATTTCAAATAAATGTTCTTTTGAACTTTCTATTAATCAAAAAATCCTGGAAAAAAAATGTATCACAGTTTCCACAAAAAGCAGTACAATTGTTTTCAACATTGATAATAAGAAATGTGTATTGTGCACCAAATCAACATATTAGAATTATTTCTGGAGAATCATGTGACACTGATGACTGAAGACTGGAGTCTTTCACACACTCATGTTCTGTCTTCCCAGCAGGTTTTACCAGGGCAGGCGAACAGAGGACGATGCACGCCAGATCAGTCGCTGGGCCAAATGTGCAGGAGTCAAAGGTCGGTGCAGGAGTCATAATCTCATCACAAAAGTGGTCCGGTCCGGTTGTGCTTATGACAACCCCAGTGTTTCCCCCGTGGTCAGGCAGACTCACCCTGGAGGACTATAAGGAAGGAACAAAGAGAGTTAAACTCAAATAGGATTAACAGACTTCCAAATTGGCCTCGTTTGATTTATCACATACTCCAGAATAAAGCTGACCTTATTGCATGTAAATAAATGGACAAATCCAATTAAATGATTGATGGTTTATCTGACTTGTTTAGCTGAGTAGACCTGTGGTAATAGCATTGCTGTATTTGGTTCTCATTGGTCATGTTTTCTGTAAGCTGTTTTGGTAAACAGAACTTATAATAATGGTTTATTTAAAAAATTTGGATCCAGTGCAGAAGCAGACATGACTTGTTTTTTCTTGTCGCAGTTGTACACTCACGTGCCTTCGAGGAATGAGAACGGATCTGTGATCGGATGTGGGCATTGTTACAATTATTTGTTTTGTGACAGTAGTTTATTTTTCTAGGTTTATTTTTAATACATGCTGAACATGCTTATCTATTTGGCTACACTCTGTGTCGTATATAAAATCTTTCCAATCTGTCATCTTTGAATGGAGTTTAGTAAAGTTTTTTTTTGGTGACCATATTGCACCCTTTGGTTTTAGAAACAGGTGGAACTTAATCAGAAACATTTATTATATGGGTTATTTCTCTTATACGGTACATTTTTATGCCCCGTTGTATATATATTAATATATTAGATGTTAGTTGATAGAGATGGAAATCATAGTAGGTCGTTTTCTTTTATCACAATGTCACAACTATGTTAGCATGAGTTCACTACTCGTTCTGTGATGTTTTATGGTATCAGTTGGTTTATCTCACTTTCTATCCTATTAAATACAATTTCAGAAATGTATATGATGATATATAAAGTTAAATAAAATGACATATAAAATAACAATCCCCAATCCCTCACTTCAGTTACTTATTTCCATACTTATAAAGTTCTTGTCATTGTGTAAATAATACAATTATAGTTAATAAAGTTTAGGTGCCTGAGCATGATAATAATTGCGCTTCCTTTGTTCAACACTGGACGGCGCCAGCAGTGCCCAATCTGTTTTTTTTTTGTTGTTTTTTTTAGCGTTTGTCAATCCACGCCGCTCACTAACTTGTTTTTTTCGTAATTTCCTTCGTAAAGCAACCAATTTGGCCTAAGTAACTGGGTTTAAAAACGACGGCATCCAATGAAACACTTTGAACACGTTAACGTCATTTTATTGACGCGGAATTGACCAATCGAAAGCGTCAGAGCGTTCGCCGGAAGACCCAGCGCCAGCCATTGAGCAGTTAGATCAGGCAGCACGTTCAGGTGTACGGCGTTCAGCCCCTCTCCTCTTTGTGATCAAGCTGCGTGTGTTACTGGAGCGGATTATACTCTCTTATAAAAGGTATTTAGACGTTTGTATTTCTTTTATATTGTATGCATATAATGCATGCTTTTATTTATGGATGAATATGTTTGTGCATGTGAGCTGGAGACGAGGCCGGGCGATTTGCCGTGTTGAGTGGCTCGGCTCGGCTTTGCAAACCCATACTAGCTTATTAATGAAGAAATCAGACAATGAATAATGTAAAAATGCATGCACTAAGCTACACTCACGAATGATAGTAATTCAAGCTTAAATCTGAACAGTGAACAAAACGTACGTTAGCGTTCATAACGGAGAATCAAACAATCATTGAAAACAATGACACCCAATTTCTCCCACTAATAAAGAAACCACGCTCTTAATGAATTATTTTAAGGCATTGGACGTTAAATATGCTTCTTATTACTTCATTAAAGTATCATTCAAATAACATGCCCAATGATAAATATACTCCTATTTAAATCTCTGTTATCCTATTTTATTATGTAATGTAATCAGATTCACAATGTGTTGATCTTCAGTGTCTCTTCTTCATGTGTGTTCATTTTGGATGGCCAGTGTAGATTGTCATTAAGCATTCCAGTGAATGTGCAATTAAATGATGCTGTAATGTTATTGAATCCTCTTAGAGCAGCCAGAACAACGTCCATCATGGCTGTTTACACTTTTGAATGAGCCTTATTCTCGGGGTTTAAAAACCTATGAAATCGAGTTTGTATCGATGGTTCATGTGCCTTAATAGATGCAAGGAAACAGAGGACCCCGTTCAGAGCAGCAGAATCACGGCCCACCCCGACAGCAGCCCAACCCCCAACAGGACCAGCAGAGGAAGCCTTCAAGAGCCGACAGCAATGGACAACACACTGATGCTGGAGAGCAGAGTAGCCCAAGTAAGCAACAGTTGTGGGCTGAAGAGCATTTACAATTTACATTTACATTATCAAGGATGGCCCCCGTTTGGTTTTTAAAACGTCAAAGTAACCTGCGTGACATGCTTGTAAGCAGGGGCGTTTCTAGAGCATTTTAAATGGGGGGGCTCTGGCCCAAAAGAGGGTGGGGGGGGTGTGTGAGTGAA